CAACTCCCAGAATTCCCCAGCCAGCACGGCTGGCTGGGGAATTCTGGGAGTTGAAGTCCACATATATTAAAGTTGCATGGTTGACGAACACTGCCCTAGACCCTTTAGATGTAATGGCCCCCTCCCATATCCTCCCTCCCCCATACGAAGAAGCAGAAGAACAGGTGGGTGCCCTCAGACCGCATGCCCAAGCCCAGGAACACCCAACCACAAAGCTCTGAAGACCCAACCACCAGGGCAGGCATGTCCTCCCTCCTAACCCTGGTTCAGTGATCGAGGCTAAAAGGAGAATCTGGCCCACTGAGGGCTTTATAGTTCCGGGGCTCCCTGAATACTATTTACAACCCAAGAGTTATCAGTAGGTTTTTTTAGAAAGCGTGTCTTGTTTGTTTGTCTTTCTGAACCATGAGGTACAGCCACCCCTAAGTACACCAGGGAATTCTTTGAGGCCTCCTGCTCATTTCTGCTCCCAAATGTGTGTGTGTGTGTGTGTGTGTGTGTGTGTTCCCCTTTCCCTCAGCTCCCTGAATACAAGTAGGGAGATGAGGTTTCTTTCCAAAGGCTATTTTTAGAGTTTGGGGACCTCCACCCCATAAACCCTGGATTTCTTTAAGTCTCGGCCCCTCTAGCTAATACTCTAGCTGAAAATGTAGGGCTGCTCTTTCTCCTTAACTTTCCTCTTCCGATTTATGCCTCCCTTGCTGATTTCTTTGTGATTGCTCCACCCACTCTTTCAGGCCCCTAACCCTCCCACCTCTCCATGTTTTCTCCTGGATCTCTCAAGCTTTTGCCACCTTTGCACAGGCTTGTCTACTGAACTAAGCTAGCAAAAAGGAAAAGGCACCATCAAATATAGCAATAGGCAATAAAATCTGAATAATCTTTAACCAAAGTTTCCCAAAACAAATACCTTCTGCTGCCGCCACAGGATCATGGTTATCATATTTACAGTAAACCTGCAAATAAAGATGTGCTTGCTTCAGTACAATAGTGCTGTTGGAAATAACAGCATCTCAGCTCTTGTATCACTTTTCTACCTCGGAACCCTTTGTTGAGGGCAAGGAAGAGACCGGAGCAAGCAAACCTGTCCTTCGCTTCCTAAATACTGTACTTCTTAAAAGGTTTCTTTACTCGTTTTGTCTCTGAGTCACTCACTGGTTTTTTTATAGGACCCCCACGCCTTTCCCCCAGTTCTCACTTCTCCTGGGACTCTTATTTTGATAGACTTTGCTAAGTTCTCTAATCTCTTCAGAGGGACCTGCTAAGAATGCCTCTTGAGGATTTCTCTCTCCTCCTTTTCTCCATCACTCTGCAGTCAGAGTTATCAGGAAGGCCCTGGGTGCTACCATGGATGCCCGGTAGCCCCTAAGGCCCTGCTTCCACAGCCTTGGGCACAGGGGGCAAGAGGCAACTTCTGCCTCTAGTGCAATCTGTCCTTGCGCCAAGAGGGACAGTGGTAGAAATTTATAAGTGGACCTCAGGGGAGAATTGAATTGATTGTCAGAACTATGTCAAATGCTTCTTGTATGCAACTTTGGCGGGGTGGGGATTGGATTTCAGCACAAGAAACTGTTCAGGCACTCCTGCCTACGTTATAGGCTCTCTTGCACTCACAGATATTGGGGCAATTGTGAATTCCTCCGACCCATGCAACCCCAACTTCACACCCCGCCTTAATACCCCACTCAGTGCTGCCTTCTATACTCTGCTTTGCTATAATGCCAGTATCTGTTTCAGAAATCTCTTCTCCCACTCTGCTTGCACATCCCAGTCAGCCCTCTCCCCAAGGAAATCCATTTTTTTTCTTTCTCCCCTGTCCCCATCACTCCTAATGAGACCAGGCAATCATCAGCACACTTACATCAGAATGGTTTGCACAATAGTTTCCCTTATCCCCACAGTAACTATTCACAAGGACTCCCTTCACAAGGAGGAGTTTGCCAGGCACTTAACACCTCTTGCTGCTTTTATGTCAACCCACATAATCAGACTGAAAACAACATACACGTGATCCAACAAGTAATTGGTCTCTTCCACTATGTTAGCCAGGACGCCATCCTGGCCTTCAGTTCCTTCACCAACTGGATTGGTGGCTGGCTCCCCAATATCTCCTTTTTTGCCAAAAAGGCCTTGTTTTTCATTGCCGTTTCCCTCGTCTTCCTTCTCCTCCTTCACTTTCTAATTACCTGTTTTTGGTCCCTCTGCACCAAACTTTTGTGCAGGAAACCAAAGACTTTCAGTTTTTGTGCTTGTTTCTTTGGCAAAAATTCCACAACGTGTATGCTAAGTTGCCATAGAACTTAGAAACCATAGAAGGTTTTTTTTTCCATTCTCCCTCGCTTTGACCTAATGGGGACTTCTCTGCAAGTGAATTTACAGAAGCTCTTGGTACTGAGCCTTTAGCAGATCTAAAATTTCCTCCCTCAGGAACAAAGCTGGCTTGCTGGGAAG